TAGTTGTCCAGCAACACATCTGCACTGCACTTACATCTCAGTTTGAAGGTAAGCATCAAAAAAAGAAAATGTACTGGTATCCCTTTCTTCACTAACACCAAAGCTACTTCCTTACTTGTGCTTGTGCACAGTATGCCTCTAGTTTCTGATTTTTTGGCAAACAGAATATGAGAGCTAATCCATCTCTATAAACTTTATTACCTTTCTGAAATGTCTGCCTTAGCTCCCAGTACTTATTTCCTACAAATACTAGGCGGTTTATTATTGAAATTAACAGAGACTATTGTGTTTTAGGCAAAAAGCTTTTGGACAATCACCACATTATTTATTGAAAAGTGTTTCTATGCTTCTTTTTAGGAATATTAGGAATATATTAATGATAAATATAAACTACACTACATAAATAAAAAAATTCAAAGTACAAAATGAGACCTTAACAATTTGTTCTGCAAGAAAGTAAAGAAATTTGGAAAAAATGACGAAGACATGTCAAAAGGATAAAAGAGAGATATTTGGGGCTTCCTCTGGCCAAACCTGAAATAATTTAAGTATCATAATATATACTTTCTATTAACAAAATATAAAAAATATGGGTGTATATTAAGTAAAACATTTAATGGGGAGATGAGAATCTCTTACAATGAAAAAAAGCAACAAAAAAATAAAAGTGTTTCAGAAGCACATATATTAAAAAAACTAATAAATATAAAAAGGATGATCACCATTTCTAACCATATTTATAATCACCAATCCAACCAAAAAGCATCCACACACACACATAAAACAACCCACAACATCCAGATACTCAAACTAGTGCTTTAAGTAGCACAAGTCTGATAAGGAGCCACACCTACATACATTCAAGATGATCTTTCTATGCGTTTATCAATTATTGAAGCAAAATTTTAACTTTATAGGAATTGACTTATCAAGAATAACTTGAAAGTAGTCATCAAAGTTAACAATGCTGATAACAGGATAAACTTCTGCTGCATCCCAACGGATACCACATCACTCTGGGATGTCCCTACTAAATAAGTACGACTTGGATCTGGACATGAAGAAATAGCAGAAAAAACCCAAATCATGGGCCACCCTACAAAAAAACTGACCTAAACTGTTATGTTCATGTAAGACAACACGGCTGAGGAGATATTTTAAGTTAAAGGAGACCAAAGAGCATGACATCTAATTGTAATGTGTGATGCTGGTTTGCAATATGGGCCAGAGAGGACACTGAGACAACTGGAAAAATATGAGTATGAACTGTGGACTAGGTAATATATGAGGGGGTACCCCAAAGAAAACCGGAATTGTGCTGGGCAAAGAGGAGCGTTTGTAGTACGTATTTTTCCCACTAGGAGAGCACTGAGCAACTTACTCTGAGTAAGTGCACCCAGTGGTGTCACCTGGGAAGGTTCTCTCTGGTCACAGTGAATTTTTTCTAAAATCTGTTTTGCTCAAACCTCGTTTTTTTGTGATGTCTGATTAAGAGAACAGTGTGCGGCTGTGAAATTTTGTTTCCTGCACATGAAAAACGCCTCAGAAACTGTTAAGATGTTGAAGACAGCTTACAAGGACAGCGCTATGGGAAAAACTCAAGTGTATGAGTGTTTCTCTCATTTCAAAAAGGGTGAAATGTAGACTGAGGACAAACCTCGTTTTGGACATCCTTCAACTTCCTGAAGGGAC